TCTAATGTGTTCTTGGATTCGGTTTGCCAGTATTTTATTGAGAAATTTTTGCATCGATATTCATGAGTGAGATAGGCCTGTAATTCTTTTTCTTGGTTGGGTCTTTGTGTGGTTTTGGTATCAGGGTAACTGTAGCTTCATAAGAGGAATTTGGCAATGACTCTTCTGTTTCTATATTGTGAAATACATTAAGGAGTATAGGTATTAGTTCTTCTTGGAAGTTCTGGTAGAATTCTGCATTGAAACCATCTGGTCCTGGGCTTTTTTTCGAAGGGAGATTTTTGATAACCATTTCTAATTCTTCGCGAGTAACAGGTCTATTTAGATCATTCACCTGGTCTTAGTTTAGCTTTGGTATATGGTACTTATTTTAAAAATGTCCATTTCTTTTGTTTTCCGGTTTTGTGGCATACAGGCTTTTGTAGTAAGATCTAATGATTCTCTGAATTTCCTCTGTGTCTGTGGTTATGTCCCCCTTTTCATTTCCGATCTTATTTATTTGCATGTTCTCTCTCTGTCATTTAATTAGTTTGGATAGGGGTTTGTCGATCTTGTTGATTTTCTCCAAGAACCAACTTTTTGTTTCATTGATTCTTTGGACTGTTTTCTGTGTTTCTATTTTGTTGATTTCCGCCCTCAGTTTTATTATTTCCAGTCTTCTACTTCTCCTGGGCTTGTCTGCTTCTTTTTTTTCTATAGCTTTCAGGTGTGTTGTTAAGTCCCCAATGTATGCATTCTCCGTTTTCTTTAAGTGGGCACTTAGTGCTATAAACTTTCCTCTTAGCACTGCTTTCATCGGTGTCCCATAGGTTTGAGTATGTTATCTCTTTATTTTCATTAAATTCAAGGAAGACTTTAATTTCTTTCTTAATTTCTTCCTTGACCCAGGTGTGGTTCAGTAGTTGACTGTTCAGTTTCCATGAGTTTGTCGGCTTTTTGTGGGTAGCATTGTTGCTGCCTTCTAACTTTAATCCGTGGTGATCAGATAAGACACAGGTGGACACTGATATTTTTTGTATCTGTGGAGGTTTCCTTTGTTTCCGAGTATGTGGTCAATTTTTGAGAAGGTTCCATGAGCTGCAGAGAAGAAGGTATATTCTTTCCTATTTGGGTGGAATGTTCTATAGATGTCTGTTAAGTCCATTTGCTTCATTACCTCCAATAATTCTCTTAATTCTCTATTAGGTTTCTGTCTGATTGACCTGTCCCTTGGAGAGAGAGGTGTGTTGAAGTCTCCTACTACTAGTGTGTGTGGTTTGATGTCTGCCTTGAGTTTTAGTAATATTTCTTTTACATAAGTGGGTGCTTTTATATTAGGGGCGTAGATATTCAGGACTGAGACGTCATCCTGATGAATTGTTCCTGTTATGAGTATAAAGTGACCATCTCGATCTCTTCTGATTTATTTTAGTTTGAAGTCAGTTTTGTTAGAAATTAGTATGGCCACACCTGCTTTTTTCTTAGGACCATTTGCTTGAAAGACCTTTTCCCAACCCTTTACTCTGAGTAGATGCCTGTCTTTGTGGTTAAGATGTGTTTCTTCAAACAGCAGAATGTTGGATCCTGTTTTCGTATCCAATCTCTTAGCCTGTGCCTTTTTATAGGTGAATTGAGCCCATTAATATTAAGTGATATTAATGATCAGTGGTTGTTTACTCTGGTTATTCTTATTGTTTTTGGTAGTAGAGTTTGTGTGTCTCCCTTCTTTGAGATGTGCTGGTGAAAGGTCGTTTGATGCCTGAGTTATTGTAGGCAGTGTTGGCAATGTTGGATTCCTTGGGTTGCGATTTTCCTGCTATTACTTTCTGTAGGGCTGGATTTGTGGCTACGTATTGTTTAAATTTGTTCTTATCCTGGAATGTCTTGTTTTCTCCATTGATAGTGAACGATAGCTTGGCTGGGTATAGTAGTTTGGGTTTACATCCATAGTCTCTTAGCTTTGCAGTAAATCTATCCAGGACCTTCTGGTTTTCATGGTTTCCATAGAGAAGTCAGGTGTAAGTCTGATCGGTTTACCTTCATAAGTTACTTGGCCTTTTTCCTTTGCAGCTCTTAATATTCTTTCTTTAACATGTATATTTTGTGTTTTGATTATTATATGACGAGGAGATGTTTTTCTTTGATCCAGTCTGTTTGGTGTTCTGTATGCTTCTTGAATATTTAAATGAACATCTTTCTTTATGTTGGGAAAGTTTTCTTCCATAATTTTGTTAAAAATATTTTCTGGGCCTTTGAGCTGTGACTCTTCTCCTTCTTCTATTCCTATTATTCTTAGGTTTGGTCTTTTTATTGTGTCCCATATTTCCTGAAAGTTTTGTGTTGAGAATTTGTTGGCTTTGCTGTTTTCTTTGACCTGTGCGTTTATTTTCTCTATGGTGTCCTCAGAATCTGAGATTCTTTCTTCTATCTATTGTATTCTATTGATTATGCTTGTTTCTGTAGACTCTGCTCGTTGACCTAGATTTTCCATATTCAGCTGGTCCTCAGTTTGTATTTTCTTCCTTGCCTTCATTTCAGTTTTCAATTCTTGAACTGTTTCCATTACCTGTTTGATTGTTTTTTTCTTGGTTTCCCAGGGTATCATGTACGCATTTACTCATTTCTTCAAACTTTTTATTATACTTCTCATCCATTTCTTTAAGGGCGTTTTTTACATGTTGTTTAAGGGACTCTATTGCTTTCATAAAGTCAATTTTTTCCACTTCTTCTGTGTTAGGGTGTTCAAATACTTCTGTTGTAAGATCATTGGATTCTGGTGTTTTCATGCTGTTTTTCAGATTATTGGGTAAATTCTTGCCTTGGTGCCTGCCCATCTCCTCCTATTGATCCTATCTAATGGGTCTTTTAAAACCAGATCAGGTTTCCCTGCTGGCCAAGGGCTCCACTTACAAAATGCCCTTGCTCTGTTTCCTGGTTCCTGCCACAGGCCAAGAACCTTCTCACCCCTCCGAAGGGTCTTCAGGACAGGACCAGGCTCCCCGTTTGCCAGTGACCTCGCCAACAAAAGGCCTACCTCTTTGATTTAATTGTAGTGGGGCGATTTGCTCTCGTTATTGTGCGCCCATCCCCGCCGCTTGCATCTGCTGCCACACCGGTCCCCCAAAGCCTATTCCTGATTGCCGAGCCTCTCTGCCGTGTCTGGACGCCGCGCCTCTCCGCCGCGTCTCTGGTTTTTTAAATTTTTTAAACAATCTTTTCTAATTTTACATACCAATCCCAGTTCCCACTCCCTACCCTTCTTCTGCTCCCCCCACCTCACTTTTTTTTTTAACATACACATATCTTGTTAAATATTCACCCCAAGTATTACTCCACAAAAACTAGTTAATGGTTAGCATTTCATCTCAACTGCTTTTCCACAGAGAGGGAAAAACACTCTCAGTCCACTCTGGCCTTTAAGGAATGTATCCAAATGCTTCTTTAATAGTCTGGGGAGTAAAACAAAGTTACAACAGTGCTTGCTTTAACTAGCCCAATGCACAGGAGAAGGGAATAGAATTAATGACACTAAGAACTTCCCAAGCTCCCAACAATGGAACAAGAAAATAATGTAAATTATTACAACCCCCAGTTTAAACTTAAACAGGGCAGCTAAGGAACTTGCTTCATTACATAGCTACTTAGTGTTAAATATGACTAACATCCTGAGTTTTCATGACTGTAAAATAACTTCTGCTTCCATGAGTGATACATCTGGAAAAGTCTGTCCTAATTACCACATTTACACTTTGATTTCTGTTGTGACCTAAGTGGTGTTAAGTGTTCTATAGACCTATCTACATTTCAATCCTTTCAATATGGAATAGCTTCTCAATGAGCTTAACTCTTTTTAAACTTTAATTAAATTAATTTATGATGATGATGGTGGTGGTGGTGGTGGTGGTGGTGGTGGTGGTGTGTGTGTGTGTGTGTACACATCTGTCGTGGCACATGTCTGGGGGTCAGAAGACAACTTCCAAGAGTCAGTTAGTTCATCCTGTGGGGCTTAGGGATGAAAGGCAGACTGTTGGGGTTGGTGGCAGTGCCTTCCTGAGCAGAGCCAGGTTACTGGTGAAGCTTAAATCTTACTTCAGCATTTTGCTGCATGCATACGTACCATGACCAAAGTATGGGTGGTTTTAAAAAAGAAAATGCATTTCATAAATCTAAAATGTCATCGTCTGTAAGTCATATCATTATACAATGAAAGAAAACACACACTGCTAATTTAAAGTATGGCTGGCTATGGATACTTTCTGATATCTGATAGGCTGCATAATATGAGATGATTACAATAAAAATAAATCCAAAATTGTATTTGAATATTACTTTTAAAGTCAGCCACTATAACATGAGGGCCGGGCTTGTTGGGGTTTCTGTCCTGCCTGGTCCCCCAGCCATTTAGTCCCAGAGAAAATCACAGAGATCTCCATAAGTTATAAAACTGATTGGCCCAATAGCTTAGTCTTTGTATTAGCTCTTGTAGCTTATATTAACCCATTATTTTTTATCTATGTTAGCCACATGGCTCAGTACCTTTTTCAGCTGGGCAGGTCACACCTGCTTCTTCAGTGATCTGGGCAGGACTTGGGGAAGAGCTTCCTTCTTCCCAGAATTCTCCTGTTCTCATCACCCTGCCTCTACTTCCTGTCTGGTTGACCTGCCTATACTTCCTGCCTGGTCAATCAGAGTTTATTTAAAACATGATTGACAGAATATTGACAATACTCCCACATCAAGCTGCTTTTTGCTTTTTTTTCCCCCTTTCTTTTCTTTCAGAGGTAAAGTTTCATAGAGCTAAGCACTGGCCTCAAACTCACTTATGCAGCTTCAACTTCTGATCCTTCTTGCTCCCATTTCTCAATTGTTATTATAGGCATATGCCATCTTGCCCAGTTTTGTTCAGTGCTGTGGATCACACCAAGTGTCCTGCATGGCTCTCTGCCAACTGAGGCACACACTACCTCCCCACCCCACCTTACTCCAGTCAATTTCTCTGTCAGAGACCAAACACGTCTTACCAATGCCCTTGTTCCTGATGAAATCCGTTGTTACAGGTCACCCACCTATCCTGCCATTCTTCCAGGGTTAGTACGCGGTTCTTCTGCACTTCAGCATTGGGGAGCTCTTTCACACGGAGTGAGGTGGCATCAGCCATAGTTTGAAGACAATTTTTGTCTCAGAGGATGGTATCTCCAGTGCCTAAATGGAAAAATATCTGCAATGACATCAGGACCTGTGATTCTGTTGATGAACTATCAAAACCCCCTGACAATAGCTTCTTAAAAATAGATGGCTCAGTGGTTAAGAGCACTGACTGCTCTTCCAGAGGTCCTGAGTTCAAGTCTCAGCAACCATATGGTGGCTCACAATCATCTGTAATGAGATCTGATGCCCTCTTCTGGCCTTCAGGCACACATGCAGACTGAACACTGTATACATAATATATAAATAAATCTAAAAAAATGTCAACATCAAAGCCAGGAATGGTATCACATGTCCTCAGTCCTTGGGAGACAAGAGGGTTGTTGCCAGTTCCAGGCCAGCCAAGGCTTCATAGCAGGGCCCTTTCTCAAAAACGAACAAGACAGGCATGGTGGCATATGCCTCTAAGCCCAGCACTAGGGAGGCAGAGGCAAGAGGCTCTCTGTGAGTTCCAGGCCAGTCAGGGCTACAGTGAGACCTTGAATCAAAAGAAACAAACACCAAAACGAACCAAACAACAAAATCCAAGTTTCAACATCCAGTAAGTTATACCAAAAATTACATTTCAGTGAGTCTAGGACTAAGAACACTTCACTGTTCTATGTTAGGAAAGTTGACTTCAGAGAATAACCTGCACCCCACCCTACAAACCTACAGATGTAACAAGGAGTGGAAACCTGGCTGTAAGAAGTTGACGAAAGAAGTTTGTGATTTTAGCCTTTTTAAAACCAGAAATTCAGCCGACCATTGCCCTAGTTCCACTCCCACTCCCATTTCTGGAACTAGTACTGTTAAGACAGGAAAGTTCGGGATTCTGTACTGCCTAGATCATCCATTGGCTGGCCCCATGGCCAGATCAGAGTTCAACCTGTTGAACCCGTGGAGTGCTTACCCAGCAGTCCTCTGCTTCCTTCATGAATGGCTGATGCATTTAAAAGTCCCGACATTTGGTGGGGCTTCAGGAGGGTGAAGAATTTAGATACGTGGGTTCAATATATTACTGCTACATCATTGAAAGATTGTATTGTCAAATAACGTTCTCATAGCTTTTGGAAGGGTACTGCAAATTGAACCTATGGGTTCGTGTGTTCCAGGCAAGCAGTATGCCTCTGAGCTATAGCCCTGCTCCCATGTGCACTAGAACATGATTTAGAGTCCGTACTTAGGATTAAAGGACACCATTCTTAACTCTGGGAAGAAAGATGCACCTCACAGCAAGTGTTTATTAACTAAAGGCTTTTTTCCAGGTCCTGATGTCAGGGGGCAAAGCCTAGAATTCTGAAAGATCAGTAGCAACTACGGGATTATTGTGGATATAGAAAAGCAAGAGAATTACTCTCCTCCTATCTGGATTTCCTATCATCAGAAACTGTGGCTCCAAAAGTTGCCCTCAGAAAGAAGTGCTCTTCTGAACTTAGAATCATCTTTACCCTGCCCAGCTCTATCCCTCTCACCGAAGCCGTCATAAATGCAATCACTTAGCTGTAGTAACAGGGCCTCAATGTGGTTTTCACTGTTCATTTCTGGAGAAATAAAATTCTGAACAAAATAATAGTACAAAGTACGACGATAAGAAAAGAAAAACCCACAATAGTTTCCTCTCATAAATGTTCACTTCCAGTATGCTCATTGGTCCAAGCCCTAAAAAAACACTTGTTTCTGCTTTAGGATTAAATTTTTTAACAGAGGGTCTTTCTGGAATTCACCACGTAGTAGGGACTGACTCTAACTCACTGAGTTCCTTCTGCCTCAGCACTCTCGAGCTGGGTTACAGGCCTGCACCATAACGCCTGACGTCTGCTTTAGCTTTATTCCTAAATTTCGTTAAAAAGTAACTTCATTAAAGTACACACATCTAGAGTACGAAGATGGAATGGGAAGTATTTTACATTTGGACACGTGTAAAACACGTGAAACACGCCATTAAGCACGGCCTCTGCATTCTGACCTCTTCCCAGGTTTTGCGGCGGTTCCCGAAGCCCCTTTTCCGGATGCGGGTAGCTGGTCATCCGTGCTTTTCACATACTCCCTTTGAAGAAAGCTGTAACCGTCTTAGCAAAAGCACTGCCTTTCTCACCGGCGGGGAACTTACCTTGGCTGCGCACTGCTGCCTTCCTCTGACCCTAGGGAGTCCCTGAGTCTGAAACCACTCGACTGGTGCCATGACGCGTAGGCCCCGCCCCATACAGACAGGCCCCGCCCCGGAGAAAACGCCCGGGCTCCTGTCCTATAGGTCCTACCCGGGCGTGAAAACCCCGCCCAGAACGAACTGACGCCTACGCTCGCCAGGCCACGCCCAAGACTCTCAGGCCCCTCCTACGTCATATTGACCCCCCCCTCTCTGGCACAAGGACTCCGCCCCCCAACCAAGGCCTCGCCCCCGCGCTGGCAAAAGGGCTCCGCCCAGAGCCCGTAGGTCCCGCCCTTCGCAGGTGCGGAGTTTGCGCAGCGGCGGAAATGGCCGAGGCGGGGCGAGCGCCCGGACCCTCCCACTCCCTGGGCCTACGAGCTCCTCCCACTCCGGGTCACGCCGCGATAGGGGCGGAAGCGGCGGCGGCGGAGGTGCTGCAGCTGCTGGTGCGGATCCTGCCGTCCTGTGCAGCCCGGGGCAGCGCTGCCTCCTGGCCAGCGCTCTGAGGTAGGGACTAGCGGCTCCGCGGACGCGCCCTGGGGAGAGCGTCCGGTTTCGGGTGACGGAGCCGCACAAAGCGGCCGGCTGTGGGGCGAGCCCAGGCGGGAGGCGCGCGCGTCCCCCGGGGCTCCCCGGCGTCCTGCGTCTGGAAGGATTGGCGCGGGGGACCCTGTGCGAGCCGGGGCTTCCCGCTCTGGGCTGCGGGTTTTCCCATTCGCCGCTGTCTCCAAAGCCTGCCCGGAGCCTCTTGCGGCTCGGCCGGCCAGAGGTGAGTTGGGGTGGCGGCTTCACCTGGCACGCTGGCGCCGTCTCCAGCCCCAAACCGGGCGAAGGGGACCACAGGCTGGGTTTCCACCCGGGGCTCTAGGAACCCCGCAACCCGGAGGAGGGCCCTCACGCTGGGAACCCACCCAGGGCCGTCGGACCCTTCAGCATGGAGGCGGGACCCCATTCTTTGCTCCCACCCGGGTTGTAGGAACCCCTTAGCCTGGAACAGGGACCACACGCTGGGCTCCCACTCGGGGCTGTGGGAACCCCCCAGCCGCGAAGAGAGTCCAGGCTGCGCTCCCAGTCGCGGCCGTGGGGGAACTCTGTAGCCGGGACTGGTAGCTGTGCTCCCAGCCTGGGCCCAGGGAACCCCGCAGCCAGGAGGAGGAACTCCAGACTGCCCTCCTACCCAAGGCGTCGGGGGTTCCCCACAGCAGGAGGAGGGGTCTCAGGCTTTTCTTCCCACGCTGGGCTCTCATCGGGGGTCTATGGGGAGCCCCGCGGCCAGGAGGAGAGACCCCACGCCAGGCTCCTCACCTGGGGCAGTGAGGCGCCGTCGGGTTTGCAGATGTAGCGGGTAACCCCAGCGCAGCTGCCCTGATTACTCCCGGGATGCCTCCCCTGGGGATTGCACACCGCCAGGTTTGGTCTCTGGTGGCTGTTAGTCTGCGCAGCTGGCACGTGAGAGCAGGGAAGAAGCATGCCCAGCTGCAGAAAGTTGGGGTTGAGTGATCTGGAAGTCAACCACAGAGGCCCAAGTCCTTGAGCTCGCCAGAGACCACGTCTGTTGTTTGGAGAGTCCCCCAGTAAACACAGGCACAGGCACAACTCTGGCTTTGGCTAGTTCCTCTCCCCACCCCCGCCCCCAACTCACAGCAGTCCTCCTGCCTTGATCTCTCTGCTGGAATACAGAGCCACCACATCTGCTTTGAATGTTTACAAAATACATTGTGGTGAAAGCCTTTGAGGTTTTCTTCTGAGGGTACATGAGACAATTCCCATTAATAATTGTCTTCCATACAGGGAACCGTCAAGAAAAGACAAGGGGCAATAGGGAATTCAGAATTGAATTGTTGGGTTGGTATTCAATATTAAATTATAGCACTGGGTTTGTCTTTCTGAAACTCAGATTGGCATGGGAATATGAGGTGCCCAGTTTGTCTTATTTTAAGTGACCCAAGGGGATTTCAATTTGCTAGCGAAGTTTCTGGTAGTTTGCTCTTTTCTTACAACTAGCACTGCCTCTACTGTGAATTTTTGTTCTATTTTGGATTCTTTTTGATTCATGTTTTTATAAATTTTATAGTTGGTGTTGTTCTTAATTCCTGGCTGGCTTTCTTGTCTGCGGGTTAGAGGGTAAAGACTTTACGCGAGGAAGAAGACACAGACACGGCGGGGGTCCCACGTGGGTGCACTTTTAATGGGGGAGGGGTAACAGGCAGGTAAAAGGTGTGTGGACACGATGGGAAAGGCGGGAAGAGAGAAGGGGGTACTCGTGGCGGCCTTTGCTTTTTAACGGGGAATGCAAAGGCTTCTGGGAAATGTGTCCTGCGCTTGCATGCACTGGCATTTGTAGTCCAGCGGAACGCTGGGAGCTGTAGTTTTGCAAAGGAACAACAGTTGTTGTTTAAATAGTTTAAGTAGTTTGAATAAGCTACATTCAGAACGCCTGGGAGTTATTTTAAACATAATTCTAAATATTGCTCAATTCACTTGTATCTTAATCTTTTAATCAAAAGAAAATCAAAACTCTGCATTTAAAATTAGGAAGAAATAGGCTTATAAAATATTGACCATGGGGGCTGGAGAGATGGCTCAGTGGTTAAGAGCATTGCCTGCTCTTCCAAAGGTCCTGAGTTCAATTCCCAGCAACCACATGGTGGCTCACAACCATCTGTAATGAGGTCTGGTGCCCTCTTCTGGCCTTCAGGCACACATGCAGACAGAATATTATAATAAATAAATAAATAAGTATTTAAAAAAAATATTGACCATGAAGCAAATTTTATACTGTGTCATCACTTAAAATAAGGCAAGCTGGGCGCTTCATATTCCCATGAGTTTCAGAAATACGGACCCAGTGATTTAATTTAACATTGAGTACCCAGCCCAGTAATGGAGTTGTGAATTCCCTGTTGCCTCGTGTCTTTTCTTGACTGTTGATATCTTTACTGAAGAATCAGGTGGGAGGGAGCAGCTGTGTGTGGTGCTTCTCTCCTCTAATCCCATCATTCTGGAGACAGAAAGGAGATTGCCAAGAGTTAGAGTAGCCAGGGCTACATATAAAACCCTGAGCTAACAAGAAAACCAGGTGGGAAAGCAGTCAGCATACTTGTTTGTTTTAATGACCCTTTATTTCGAAGAGTAGATTTTCAAACAGAAGTTTGCCAACTTCAGCTCAAATCATTTCCCCTTCATTTTAATGAGGACCCAGGGACTGAGCAACAGTGGAAACGCTGATGAATTACATTAGTGCGTTAGAGAGTGAAAGCTGTTTGCTGATTGGATTCTTACAGGTGAAGATGCACTGCCTCGAAAACTTTCAGATCTGATAGCTCCTACAGTGTTCTCATTTCTGCAGATAGTTCTTGTGTAAAAATGTGAAATGTCTGGAAACCATGCTTGGTTTTAGGAGCCATGCGTTTCTGGCTTATGTTCAGTGTTGCATAAATCCAGGCTAATTTCTCGTGTTCCTGAACCGCACATTGAGCATCAAGTGCTCTTGCTACAGTTCTTATGTGTACTAACTAGGCTTCGTGAACACAGAATATTTACGTATTCTATTTGTGGCCCATCTTGTGAATGCAGAATACATGTTTTACATGTAAAGAAATTTATGTATTTTTATGTATGTGAAAATACTTAGGTGAATGGTTAAATTGGACACCCTTTTTGAAAGTATACATGAGGCATGAGACGTAGTTCAGTGGTAGAATGCTTGCCTACAGCACAACATAAAATAAGTTAATTTTAAAAAGTGCGACTGGAATCTGGAAAGTTCATTGTTGTTGTTGTTTTCGGATAGGTTCTCTGTGTAGCTCTGACTGTCCTAGAATTTTCTCTGTGGACCAGGCTGGCCTTGAACTAGGAAACTCACCTGCTTCGTCTCCTGAGTGCTGGAATTAAAGGCATGCACCACCACCGCCAGACTCAGAAAGTCTTTATTTAACAAGAATTGAAGGTAGATTGTATTTCTACTATTAGCACTGTACCAGCGTAGTGGAATCCGTAGCACTGATTTTATTTTATGTGTTGGGGACTTAGTTCAGGGCCTCATGCACACCAGGCTTGTCTTTTATCACTGAACTAAACTCCTAGCACCCTCTAGTCCCCATTGGGGGCCAGTGAGACACAGAGATGGAACAGCAGGTGAAGGGCTTTTGCTGCCAAACCTAATAACCCGAGTTTGATCCCTGGAACACACATGGGAGAAGGAGAGAATTGGTTCCTCCCAGAGGTTGACCTCTGACCTCCACATTTGTGCTATGGTATGTGCTCCCCCCCCCGTACATAAACATAAAGGAAAAAATGCCTCTTAAAAAAAGTCATCTTCTGCATCTTAGAAAATGTAGTCTTACTGTGTTGTAGCTAGCATTCTGCTGGCTTGCAGAAAGTCATGAAAAGTTGAACCACCCACAGTATTGATGTTGTGATTCTTAGTGTGGATGTGAGAGTTTGCATGTGTTGTTAATGATTTATGAGAACTGGACTTGCGGACATGAATGCAACTTACAAGTGGAAACTGAGTATACAAGGTCTTCAGACTTTTCTCCAAGATTAACAGGCGTGGTGTCAGTTCCTGCCCTCTGTGGTGCCGCTCTGCTGCCCCCACGTTACCCACACAGATGTCCTCCTTACTCTTCCTTCCTCCATTTGGTGTGTGAGCGATGGCATGGCAGGAAAGGCCGAATAACTATAGATTAATAGGTCATTGTTTACTCTAAGCGTTTTCTTATCTTATTGAATATTTTCTAATAGCTCATACTCTTTCATGGGTTCAATGCCTAATTCATAGATGTTTGGTTTTGAGACAGTGGCTCACGTCCAGACTGGCCTTGAACTCACTGTGCAGCTGAAACTGGCTGTGAATTCCCAGTTCTGCCACCATCTCCTCCTCCACTGGAACTGCAGGCATGAGTGGCCACACCCAGCTAGATGTTTGCTCTCAATGCTTGTTTAGCCATGCTGTTAACAGACTAGTATGGAAATTAAGATTTGTCTAGTAGAAGATAATAGTGCTTTTATCTAATCCAGATTCTCGTATTCTATGTAGGAGTAT